CTGAATCCGTGTTGTGTCTGCCATTGCCGTTCAATCTGTACAGTACATAGGCTGTGTATTTCCCGCTGATTAGAAAGCCGTGCCCAGACCTGACTACTGATTATAAAAATGGACAAACAGAATTATTAAGTAGACCGGATAAAAAAATCAACTCACAATTGCGAAACAAATGATGTTTTATTAAATTAAGCTATTCGTTCGTTTATTTTTTTTAAAGAACCGAAACCCTATCTAGCTAGACAGCGGTAAGAAAAAATAATGAACTTTTCAATGCATATAACGTAATGTTGGAGAGATACTCATGAGGCTGTTTTTGAGAATACCTGGAGTATGATTAAAATAGAAAGTAATCCCGTACAAGTATGTTAGGAATAGCAAATAATCCTGTACCCAAATTAGGTACGTACGTCAGTCAGCACTATGAATACCGGGCCTGTCGAGTGATTAACGGCGTAGTTTGTTACCCCTTCAATATTTATCGTTCAGATAACGACAAGGTTATTGATCAAACTTGCATTAAAGTTGACAGCATTAGTATCCCTCTGAAGTATTACGGCAGCTTATTACAATACTGTATTTCATGCATAAGAAATCATACTTTTCTCAGTACGAGTTAAAAGTTTACAGATTTGAGGAATAAAGAATGAACATTATTTATTGTATAGAAGAGTTGCATGCAGGTGACAAAGCATCAGCTGAAAGTTATGGACGACAGAGCATATCACTAAGATTACGATGTATTTTTACTGTATACTTATTTATTCATTTAATTAATTCTTACGTAGGTACACAGATTTACAAGGGAAATTCCAACGGGTATCACTATATTACTTCCCAACAAATAAACAATAACACAATGAGTACTAAAAATAAAGAGATTAGGCTTGACCTTCGACTGTACTTACTGCCGAGCTGATAGGTTGATATATATATATACGACAGCTATACGTACTGCATAAACAAAATAAAAGTAGGCTCACCTGAAGATTCGCCCCCAACCTAACCTACAGTAATCTAACCCCTCCCAGGTAGCATTAGGGTGTTCAACCTACGTGAAATAAGTTAAAAGGAGGGGGGGGGGGTCTACAGGTGATAAGGTCCAACATGTAAACAACCAGAAGACTTGATTGATAACCGCAATAAATCGAAATGTTGAACGACGTCGACTGCAATTACCAGGTCGTATGAGCTTCACGTTATTAAAGTTAGGACAATATGCCAACCATTTCATGCTTAGATAACGTAAAAATAATTTAGTGTAAGTGTTATATTCCTCCTCATGTTATTCTAAGAGGAAGACGATTTTGTAGTCGCACAAGTAGTAGTCGAATGTTTGCAGTTAAATAGATGTTAATTGTTAGTGAGTGTTCGCAAGGTCTGTCAAATACAGATAGAAACCCTTGAGAAATTTTATAAGAGCCAGTTGTGAAGTGCGGTACTGGAAATTGTGAATCAGGATTCATCAAACAAGCAGTCAAGCGGTCATCACATTTTGTTTCATTACATTTAGTAAAGGGAGCGTGAGCTGCATATTATGTCTTGGCATAATGGTGCTTTTACAGCCTGTAAATGTAAGCATAATGCAATTGAAGCGTTATATAATTAGTTTCCATTACGGCCATTAGAAAAGGTCGGTTATAATTACACTTTTGGGACCTGGGTAAGGTGTAATATCAGAAGTAAACCTTTGATAAACTCTCCGATAATTGCAGTTCATTTCTTGGTTTCCACAGTAGTCAGTAACTGAACAAATCAGTAACAATAAGAAAAGTTGTAATTAATTACTTACGCTCTTACAAGTGTGACTGATTTTATCCTGATATTTTGTGATGTGAACGAGAAACATGACTCACCTCTGATCAAAGGAGGAAGAAGGCATGACTAATAGACTGGATATTCCTCTAATATCTTAACATTTTATATAAGCTGCTGTATCTGTTTGAGGTGACCATGATATCTCTGTGTCAGAGTAGGGTACTTGTGGAGGGTATGTTGGAGCGATAATAACCTGCCCCAGAGACTATTGTATTACGTTAAGTTGTTACTGCTTGTACATAAACTACAGTAAATTATTAATGCTTTTGTTAATATGGCTCAACGCGCCAAACATAATACAGAAGGGTGTAGGATGACTTACGTTTATGATGTTAAGAGAACAAAGCCTACTTTAGAATCTGGCCAAAAGGTGTTTCTGACATTTTAAGGGATGACGGCCCTTGTGTACACTATTAGTCTATTAGTATTAATGTCTTGCATCAGTGTTTCGTGAGCAAGTGGGGAAAAGGATAAAAATTTCAAAACCAGTCGATTTAATGGCGGAGTTGGGACTTATGCTCAAAAAAACTATATACTTCCCCGTTTACCTGTATTATGTGGGACAATAGAAGTGATCATTTATTATTAGTGAACGGTGAAGGGATTTAACGATGTAAACAAACCATTAGCGTGAGGGACCGCCGTTATATTACTGTACAGTATATTATAGATTGCCTGACACCTCCCAACTACTTCACCAGATGGTATTAAATGCTTTTTTTTTAGCTAGTTCACTATTAACTATTTACGCTATTTATATGTTAATAATTATCCAACACCAATTACCTGTATCCCGTTTTCTTAAACTCACAAATAATACTAAAAAATGCATATAACTTGATTGGTATTCATATGATGAACGCTTTTAATTCCCCTTACTCGCTTTGTGTATCTGTTTTATGTATTTTCCCATAACCCAGAACTGTGCGCTGGCAAACACATTAAGTATGCACATCCGACCTAACTAACGCTTGAACCGGTTAATTCAAGTTGTGTTGGGCTTTAGGGCACTAGGCTTACAGTACAGTACTGTGTTTTTACCTTGTTAGTTGTTAATGGCTGGTCTTTATTATTATTATTATAGGTATTCTCTTTAGGGTCGGTTGAATTTTATTAACTTAGACTATGATTAGATATGGTTAGTCCAGATTTTATTGAGAGTAAAGTTTTAATTTTCATATTTTTCCCCACTCAAATTAAATGCGAGACAAAAAAAAACAAAAATCCAAGCAGGTGGTCAGTTATCAACACGTACAAAAAATAAAACAAGTTCTCTAATACCCATTTATTAACCATGAAGAGTATACATTTCACATCTTTTTATATTTCTTATATAAATTATTTTTGTTGTGTTAAAGATTTTTTTATTATTATTTCAAGGTCCAGTTACCAACCACGAGGAACTGATCATGTCTTGGTTGGGTTAATGAAGGGAGGATTTAAAGTGATAGAATGAGGAATGGATGGTAGAGAAGAGAGAGATGAGCGAGGCTAGTATAACCCTCTCTTGTATTAGCATAGTCTACCAGCTGACAGGGGTGAACCGGGCAAGTTATGATACGGAGGGATTATTAGTATGGATGAGATTTTGTTAACTTTTATATTTGGTTTATTTTGGCCAGTGGAATATTTCTGAGATTTTTTTCGTCCATATAATTTTGTTTCCTGTTTTAAAGCCACATTGTTAGCCATTTTGTTGTTTTTATTTTATTTTTATTACGTATATGTAACTATTGTTGGAATAGATTCCTTTATTTTAGTGTACAATAAAGATAACGAAACACTATTAGAATCATGAAACAGAAGTGGACACTAGATGAGTATATCTTATTATTTGTCTATAATTGTAAAGATAAATTGTGTGTGTGTATAATAGTAGTAGGGTCGCTTTTATTCCAACACTAGTGAAAAGCAACCACCTAAACCCAGCAGAAAGGTCACTCCTTGCACTACCACCGAGACAGGGAGGAAGTGGAATTACTTATCCCTAATCCAGAGAAGCTTGCTGCCACCGAACATCAGAACTTTGTCAAGATCACGGCAGCCCTCACAGTGCACATAGTATCTCAAAATACAGCAAGCGAGGAGGATACCAACGAATTCTGTAAGATTCGACGTTCCATTATGACAGAACGGCAGCACACCCAAAGTGAAAAACATCAACAATTAAAATGACTGTCAGAGAATTTGAAGAAAAAAGTAGCTGTAGCGCAGGAGGTGGGCGCCTTTAACTGGCTAACAACGTTACCGATAAGAGAAAAGGGCTTCAGCCTTAACAAACAAGAATTCACAGACGCCATTGCTCTGAGGTATGGTAGGTCAGTGGCAGGCATACCTGCCCAATGCGTGTGTGGCTCATCCAACGACATTAACCGCGCCATGGTGTGCAAGAAAAGGGGACTTCGTATGCATGAAGCATGACGAAGTAAGGGATCTCACAGCGAATATGTTGAAGGAAATTTGTCATGCCGTCAGGTGGAACCGACCCTCCTTCCAATGGACGGCGAAAATCTCGATCACCTTACTTCCAACACAACCAATGAAGCCCTTGTGGACGTCAGTGCTCGAAGATTCTGGACGCGGGTACGGCGAACCTTCTTTGATATGAGGATATTCGATCCCATGGCCGCATGTCACCGTAACCTGTCTCTCGAGGCTGCACACAGGAGAAACGAGATCGACAAGAACAGGGCGTAAGAGAGAATTCAAAACGTGGATCAGGGCAGCTTCCCTCCCCCCGGTGTTCACTACATCTGGCGAGCTGGGGACAAGTGCAAGATGCTTCTACGCCAGACTGGCCGAGGTTTTGTCTGAAAAAAATTTGCAGCCCAGAAGCTATGTTGCAGCCTGGTTCAGGTGTCTGTCCTTTTCTACTTAGGTCTGCATTGCTTTACCTCAGGGGAACGAGATCATCGGCCCCTCAGCTAACAACAGTGGCAGACATGGACAATGAGGCAACAGTCACTGAATGCCGCATAGATTGGCGGCGTAACTAACTCAGCTAGGGTAGCTACTTTTGTATTAGGATAGTTAGGTCATAAAATGGTGGAGAAGGTATGTGTGTTACTTGTAGCAGCAGTAACAGAGTATAGTGGTAAGTGCATGACCCTTCACAACATCTCCCCCAGGCCCTGGAGAGCACCGTGGTGGTAGCAGCTAGCGTGGTGGGCGGGACGAGGCTGCCGGGCGTGGGGGTGGGCATGCTGGGTCCGCCCTTCTCTCGCCTGTTGCGGCTGTCGCCCGTGAGGAACAACTTGACGGGCGTGTTGTCGTCTCTAGGCCGCCTGCAGGAGGACCTCGTTCCCGGCCAGAGGTGAGTCACGTCCTCCGCCCAAGCACCACCCACGGTATAGTTACGTCATCAAGCATACCGCACTGATCTTAATACTTTCACTCAGTTTAAGGTCTTGACTCTCTCTCTCTCTCTCTCTCTCTCTCTCTCTCTCTCTCTCTCTCTCTCTCTCTCTCTCTCTCTCTCTCTCTCTCTCTCTCAAATATAGGTGAACTATTTATTTGAAAATCTTTTATATAATCTTACCAACCAGTTTTCACTTTTACCAGAGAGTTATTGAAATATTTACATGTTAAACCCTTCACTATCTCAGACCAGCAAGAGGTATTGAAGCTGTTTACCATTATGATAAATATTGGTAGTTAATACTTCCTCTGGTGTTAATAAAGTCTTCTTTCTTGAACCATTAGTTACCCAAAAACAATTAATCTGTCTACACCTCAAAGTAAATTTTCCCCCCTGTCCCCTTCCCCCTTTCCCCCTCCCTCTGTCCCTGTTCCCTTTTCCCTCCCCCTGTCTCACTCTCCCCTTCCTGTCCTGTCCCCCTCCTACTGTCCCTTCACCCTGTCCCCTCTTTTAATGTTTCAATTGTACATTAGTTTTTAATGGCTTCTGATAAAGTGCTTTGACCCCTTGAGCACAGTGTCCCCCTTCCCCCTCCCCCTCTTGAGGAGGATGTGAAGTATCTCATTGAGTGCGATAGTTTTTAACCACTTGAGTACGATTATGTAATCCTTTGGGAACAGTGGCTTAGTCCCGTGAGTACAGTGATAACCCCTTGAGTACGATTATTTAACCCGTTGAGTATTATGACTTAACCCCATGATTACAATGAATAAACCCCTTTAACACTATTAAGTCATTGTACTAAAGGGGTTAAGTTATCATACTAAAGGGGTTATATCATACTCAAGGGCTTAAATCGTCATACTAGGGTTAAAATCATCATACTCAAGGGATTAAATCATCATACTCAAGGGGTTAAATCATCATACTCAAGAGCTTAAATCATCATACTCGGGTTAAAATCATCATACTCAAGGGCTTAAATTATCGTACTCGAGCTTAAATCATCATCCTCAAGGGGTCAAATCATCATACTCAAGAGTTTAAATCATCATACTAGGGTTAAAATCATCATACTCAAAGGGCTAGAGTCTTCATACTCAAGGGTTAAACCATCATACTCAAGGGGCTAAACTCTTCATGCTCAAGGGTTAATCATTATACTTGGCCAGGAAGTATTGGATAGATAGATCGATAAATAGATGTAGATAGATAGATAGATAGATAGATAGCAAGATCGTCATGGAAGTTTACAGTGGGTTCAGCATGTGTATATAGGCAATGTAGGTACAGGTATATACAGTAATTAAGTGTACTGTATATATATATATATATATATATATATATATATATATATATATATATGAGTAATGCAGGTATACAGTGTGCATAGACCGTGCAGGTATACACCATAAAACATTGCCATTGGTGGAAGAAGACTGGCAAAGGTGTACGTCCGGCGCTGCTCCTTACCCTGAGTGTGGAGGAGTGACAAGGGCCGACGGACATGGTAAGAGGCTGTAGTGGTCGTACAGCATCGTGCTACCAGCGCCAGGGACACTCTTAGTCTAGTCCTTGATGCTGTCACTCGCTTCCTGCTGGCTGGGGAACCCTGGGATCACCTAAAGATTAGACCCCCAGCCTAACCTAACCTAACCTAACTTAACCAAACAAGCTAATATAACCTAACCTAACCGACGCCAACCTAACGTTAACAGTTCCCTGGGAGTGTGTGTTAACGTTCGCTGTTAAGAAAGTTAGTAAAGCTATTAACCCACGCAGGATATTGGCTGGGCGGAGCTCAAGGTTAGTTTAATTTAAAAAAATTCGTGAAATTCGATATTGCGAGGCGACTCAGGTGTGTGCGTGTGTGTGTGTGTGTGTACGTAATTTTCACATTGATTATATTAAGTAGTGAGGGTAAATGTTGAAATCTAAACTGTATTAAACTTCATTTTATATTTACTAACACGTAATGTAATATTTTAGGTAAGATTAAAGATTGGGTTCGACATAAATATGAGCTGTAATGGTCAGGTTTTTAATACACCTCGCATGTTAATCAGATTCTGAGTAAGATGAATGAAGATATGGCTCATATTTAACTCATTAAAACCGCTCTGGTCACCCCTAAAAGCCTTGAGTGAAGCGCCACTGAATACGACGTTAGGTTGCACATTTCTGTCGACTCAGCTGAGATGTGGAAGATGACGTCAGAGGAACAGGTCGCACGGGGCAATCACAGTGACGTCCAACCTGACGCAGGTATCGGGAGGAGGAGGAGGCTGGTGTGCGTGACAACACCAGCCGTCGTAGAGGGTCAACAGGCAGGCGTACGAATTTTGTTTACCTCACACATAGACGCTGTACCTTGTAGGTTAGGTTATGTTAGGTTAGGTCGGGTTATGGTAGGTTAGGTCGGGTTATGGTAGGTTAGGTCGGGTTATGGTAGGTTAGGTCGGGTTATGTTAGGTTAGGTCGGGTTATGTTAGGTTAGGTCGGGTTATGGTAGGTTAGGTCGGGTTATGGTAGGTTAGGTCGGGTTATGGTAGGTTAGGTCGGGTTATGTTAGGTTAGGTCGGGTTATGTTAGGTTAGGTCGGGTTATGTTAGGTTAGGTCGGGTTATGTTAGGTTAGGTCGGGTTATGTTAGGATTAGGTCGGGTTATGGTAGGTTAGGTCGGGTTATGTTGGGGTTAGGTCGGGTTATATGGTAGGTTAGGTTAGGTTATGTTAGGTTAGGTCGGGTTATGGTAGGTTAGGTCGGGTTATGGTAGGTTAGGTCGGGTTATGGTAGGTTAGGTCGGGTTATGTTAGGTTAGGTCGGGTTATGTTAGGTTAGGTCGGGTTATGGTAGGTTAGGTCGGGTTATGGTAGGTTAGGTCGGGTTATGGTAGGTTAGGTCGGGTTATGTTAGGTTAGGTCGGGTTATGTTAGGTTAGGTCGGGTTATGTTAAGGTTAGGCCTGGTTATGTTAGGTTAGGTCGGGTTATCCGGCCCAGGTTAGGTCGGGTTATGGTGTTAGGTCGGGTTATGTTAGGTTAGGTCGGGTTAGGTCGGGTTATGGTAGGTTAGGTCCGGGTTATATTAGGTTAGGTCGGGTTATGGTAGGTTAGGTCGGGTTATGTTAGGTTAGGTCGGGTTATGTTAGGTTAGGTCGGGTTATGGTAGGTTAGGTCGGGTTATGGTAGGTTAGGTCGGGTTATGGTAGGTTAGGTCGGGTTATGTTAGGTTAGGTCGGGTTATGTTAGGTTAGGTCGGGTTATGGTAGGTTAGGTCGGGTTATGGTAGGTTAGGTCGGGTTATGGTAGGTTAGGTCGGGTTATGTTAGGTTAGGTCGGGTTATGTTAGGTTAGGTCGGGTTATGGTAGGTTAGGTCGGGTTATGTTAGGTTAGGTCGGGTTATGGTAGGTTAGGTCGGGTTATGTTAGGTTAGGTCGGGTTATGTTAGGTTAGGTCGGGTTATGTTAGGTTAGGCCTGGTTAGGTTAAGCTGAGTTAGGTTAGGTTGGATTGATTGACGGTGTGTACAGCACGTGGTTGAGTGGTGGTGGAGGTGGTTTAGTTTCCCGGTAATTATTGGGAATCAATTGTTATCGTTTGTCTTTCTTGTTCTTTTGTTCGCTGTCCGGATCACCCGATGATGACGGACCCCGACTAAACACCTGAACGCTAACCTTATCTAAAAGTAACCTAACATAGCATAGCAATATAACCTAACCTAGAATAACTTTACTTAACATAATCTGACATGACATTACCGAACATAAACTAACCTAACTTAACAAAATAACCAAACCTAACCTAACTCTGCCAGGTCGTGTCAGGTGGAAAGTTGGGGAGGGGAGGGGGCTAATGTTCACGTTTTCCATCATTTATTTTCCTTTTAATGTATATTTATATAACTACTTCAGTCTACCTCCTACAGGGGCACGGAGATGAACATACCAGTGAGTGAAGCCCTGGACGCTGTGGTGGCCGATGCTGCCTCCTTCACCCCCGCCTCACACCAGCCCCTACAGGTGGGTGCTCTCTCTCTCTCTCTCTCTCTCTCTCTCTCTCTCTCTCTCTCTCTCTCTCTCTCACAAAAATATGACATTCCTCCATATCAGGTTAGGTTAGGTTTGGTTAAGTTAGGTTAAGTTAAGATTTGAAATGGGTATATATTAAAATCTGGGAATTATATTTCCATGCCCCTCAATACTGTGTGTGGGTCTTGCTGTAATCCAGGTTGGAGGAGAGGCAAGATCTGGCCAGACTTCCTTAATGATCACCAAATTATAACTTATAACTTCACTATATCATTATCACTCACTATATCACTATTATTATCACTATCACAATCACTATATCTTACAGTTTAATTGTGATGGCCACTATAAAGGATGGCCCCGGTATAACTTAGACCTGTGATGGCCACTATTTAACCTCTTACAGCTGGTCGTGATCACCTGGAGTCCGGTGCACCTACTGACGGAGACCTTCAGGCTGGTGCTCAATCACGCCCACGCCCGCTACCTGAGTGCTGTTCACGTGAGTCTCCTGCAGCCATGTTGTGTAGTCTCTCTCTCTCTCTCTCTCTCTCTCTCTCTCTCTCTCTTTCATTATCTAAACATTATCCAACTGTTGTAGCAATTCATTCAGTTTCTCTTCACATACACAAGTTAAATTTACCCCCGATAAGACACGAGAGGATGTATGTCCGGTACAGTTTTAGTATATAGTCGACGCCATTGTGGATCTGGTACAGTTTTGTTACATATTCGACGCCATTGTGGATCCGGTACAGTTTAGTATTTACCCGACGCTATTGTAGTAACCCTGATGGTACCAGTTACTTTCCCACATTACTCGTGAGAATAAATGATATACGTGGGAACTTTTAAGGCGTAAGGCCTCTGGATTCTAACTTGTTCGCAAGTGTAAGATATTTCCCACAGACAAGAGACCTGTTCTTGGGCCACGGTGGAAAGATGGCTGATTAAGAACGCTGATGAGTGTTTTGATGAGTCTGGTATTACAGTTTATTCTATTTGACCTAACCTGACCAAATCTAACTGGTGGGGAGAGGGGGGAGGGGCTGATCCTCCACCTGAATCGAATTGAATTACATTGACAGTATTACTCCCCCCTCCCACCCCACTCCCCCCTTCCCCTCAGTCCTATATCGCTAACTGTATCTGTTCACAAGAATCTATTTCCCACACTCTAGCTGGGTTGTGTGTGTGTGTGTGTGTGTGTGTGTGTGTGTGTGTGTGTGTGTGTGTGTGTGTGTGTGTGTGTGTGTGTATGTGTGTGTCTCCTCCCTCTCACTATCTCCCTTCAGTTCATCTACAGTACAGTACACTTAGTTCCCCCTTCACTGGTTATTCACCTCACCGTGCACACATATAGTCTCTCTCTCTCTTGTTATTTACAGTTTTATGCATCACTTTTATTTGATTTTTCATACATACATACATACATACATACATACATACATACATACATACATACAGTACATACATACACACACACACATCAACAGTACATCTGCCTCCATAAACCATTTAATTTCACGCTCTCGGATTACCCACGCACGCCTTTGCTTCCTGCGTGTTCACCAAAAACTAATAATTATAATAATCCTGCTATGTTCACCACCACCACCCATCCGGCACCTGTCAGGAGAAGTAGATCACCCGTCAGGAGAAGTAGATCATATACTGTATATGCCTCCTCCGTCACTTACACTGAATAGATTAGGTTTGATTTCCTTGTATAAAAAAACCACTTAAAGAATGCCATCACAAGTTTTATTCTGATGAAAGTTTGATTTACTATTATTATTATTATTATTATTATTATTATTATTATTATTACAGGTGTATTATTATTATTATTATTATTAATATTACAGGTGTATTATTATTATTGTTATTATTAATATTATTATTATTATTATTATTATTATTATTATTATTATTATTATTATTATTATCGTTATTATTATTACTGTATTATTATTATTATTATTATTATTATTATTATTATTATTATGATTATTATTATTCCGTCGTTTAAGATCTCATGACCCCTTGACAGTAGTGATTGGATCTCATGAAGTTTAGGAACCCTAACCTAACCTAACCTAACTGCCAGGTAACCTAAGGGTAGTTAAACAGGTGAATTAAACGGAGGCTCCTAATGTTTATACGATCCCAGTGATTTAATCCCTTGAGTACGATGTCTTAACTCCCTGAATACGAGAATCTAATCCCCTTGAGTACGATAGATATTGTACTTAGGGGATTAAGTTATCATACTCAAGGACTCATAATATAATAAAGGTTTTTGAAGGTCGTTCATCATAGTCCGGTGACAGCTGAGCGTCACCCCCAGACTGTGGTGTGTGTCAGGGGCTCGTCAGCGAGACTCACAATATTTGCCAGAGATGAAGCGTGATGGACAGGCCCTCACACGGGTTGAATCCCTTGCTTGTGTTGCTGCCGCCGTCAAAAATAAACGGAGGTGTAAGAGTGAGGGGGAGAGGGGGAGGATGTGCGGTAAGGGGGTGGGTGAGGGGAAGAGGGGTGAGAGGAGGAAGAGAAGAGGGGGTGAGAGGAGGAAGAGAAGAGGGATTGAGAGGAGGAAGAGGGGGTGAGAGGGGTGAAGGATAGCCTAGACACGTGAACCTAATGAATCTAATGACCCCCGAGTGACGCACTGCATATGATGAGGATCGATGTATTGAGGCAGTGAGAAACTATTAATAAGTGAGGGAGGGGGAGGGAGGGAGATAAGTGAGAATTTATGGGAGGGGGAAAGATAATAGAGAGAGAGAAAGAGAGAGAGAGTCTTACAGGTGGGTGGTGACTGCCTCAGTGATAGTTGATGATAAGGAGTATGCTACCAACAGGTTACAGATGTTATAATATGGCTCACACAGATACAGTCTAAACTAACCTAACCATCTTGACCTAACTTAACTTTTCTTAACTTATCCTAACACAACCAAACCGAACTTGGCCTTACTTAACCTATCCTAACCGAACTTGATCTTACTTAATCTAACCTAACCTAAGTTAACCTTACTTAACCTAATCTAACTACTTAACCTAACCTAACTTGACCTTACTTAACCAAACCTAACTTGACCTTACATAACCTAGTCTAATTTGACCTGACTTAACCTCCTTGCCCCTTCAGTATATTTTTTATTGTTCATGACATTTCAGATGGATAATAACACTCATCTGAGCTTGTACTCATCCAGGGGCCTTGTAAATCTAGCCTTGTTGGTACTCATCCAGGGGCCTTGTAAATCTAGCCTTGTTGGTACTCATCCAGGACCTTGTACTCATCCAGGGGCCTTGTAAATCTAACCTTGTTGGTACTCATCCAGGACCTTGTACTCATCCAGGCTCCTTGTAAATCTAGCCTTGTTGGTACTCATTTGCACCTTGTAGCCACATCCCCTTTGAACTTTTTTCTCTACACTTTAATTAACTGTGATGATCCCGACAGGTGGCTGGCGTGAAGAGCTTGCTGCGGCGAGGTACTCTACTACAGGAGGAGGAGGAGGACACCTTTCCCGCCGGCGACGCTGCTGGGGGAGTGTGGGTCACGGCCGCCACCTACCCGCCTGATCCCTACACCTTTACTGGGCTCTTTAAAGTAAACCTCCTCATCGATCCTTGGTTTTCTCCGATATTTTACTACAGGGGAATGATGATGAAGAGGTGGGGGTGAGAGAGGTCCTGGGAGTGGTGTGTGTGAGACGTGTGTGTGTGTGCGTGTGTGACGTAAGGGTGTGTGTGTGACGTAAGGGTGTGTGTGTGTGTGTGACGTAAGGTGTGTGTGTGTGTGACGTAGGGTGTGTGTGTGTGTGTGTGTGACGTAAGTGTGTGTGTGTGTGTGTGTGTGTGACGGGGTGTGTGTGTGTGTGACATGGGGTGTGTGTGTGTGTGTGACAGGGGTGTGTGTGTGTGTCTGTGTGTGAGTGTGAGACGTGTGTGTGTGTGTGTGTGTGACGTAAGGTGTGTGTGTGTGAGACGTGAGGGTGTGTGTGTGTGTGTGTGTGTATATGATTTATGATTAAATCTTAACGTAGCAAGCAACAATCTTGTGTGTGTGTGGCGTGAGGGTGTGTGTGTGTGACGTGAGGGTGTGTGTGTGTGTGTGTGTGTGACGTGAGGGTGTGTGTGTGTGTGTGTGTGACGTGAGGGTGTGTGTGTGTGACGTGAGGGTGTGTGTGTGTGTGTGTGTGTGTGTGACGTGAGGGTGTGTGTGTGTGTGTGTGTGTGACGTGAGGGTGTGTGTGTGTGTGTGTGTGACGTGAGTGTGTGTGTGTGTGTGTGTGTGTGTGTGTGTGTGTGTGTGTGTGTGTGTGTGTGTGTGTGTGTGTGTGTGTGAGACGACGTGAGGTGTGTGTGTAGTAATAATAATAATAATAATAATAATAATAATAAATAATTAACTTTTTATTGAAAGAACATGGCAGCCGGAAGGCTGAAAATATACAGTTACATAATTGGGGAATGGGTCTCTTGATTTACAAATCATATACAAGTAACATAAGTGATACAAATATGATATATAATAACTAGGTGGGGAGAAGCTCAAACTACAGGGCATTTCAACATAGTGACAGTGCAAAAAATACGATTTTTACAATGGTTGGGACTGGGCTGTTCTTATAGAGATCAGTTTGTGCTCGTATGGGCTGGATGCGGTTGTGGTGTCGAACAGCAATTCTTGGACGAGGGATCTCGGGTGGTAATAGGAACCGGTGTCGAGGATGGTGCAGAAGCTTCTCACCAGATTTGCAGATGAGGTCGTGGTGATGGTCAGTGAGAGCCGAGAGGGTCAATGTGTTGAGCGCTTCTTGATTTGTAGAGTAGGAAAGGGAGAGAATAATCATGCGTGCCCTCTTTTGCACTTTTTATAGATGTTTACGTTATGTGGCATTTAGGGAGGAAGACCAGGTAGGGGAGGCATAGGTGAGCTTGGGAAGTATGAATGTTGAGTAAACACTGAGGAGCTCGGGTGCGGGAACTCCGAGGGACTTGAGTCGGCGGAGGAGGTGGAAACGGAAACTGGAGGATTTGACAACTTCACTGACGAGTGGTTTCCAATTTAGTTTGTTGTCTATGGTGACGCCGAGGAGCTTAGTGTGTGTGTGTGTGTGTGTGTGTGTGTGTGAGACGTGAGGGTGTGTGCGTATGTGTATGTGTGTGTCTGTGAGTTGTGAGGGTGACTGTATAGGTGTGATCTTGTTTGTGTGTGTGTGTGTGTTTGTTACATTTTTATTAACTATTTTTGAGTTCGAGGGCTTGTAGCTGTAAAAAAAATCACACACACACACACACACACACACACACACACACACACAAAGAATGTACATATCTGTCAATCAATGTTTAAGTATGTATGTCAAGCACTTGCCACCAAGAGGGCCGACCCTGTCCTGGTATGTCCACCTGTGTGACCCCTCATTCATCAGGTGTGAACTAACTTTTACCTGCGCGTAAAGTATGTCCAGCTCTCACGCATGTCCTTCACTTGTCATCCTTCCTTGTCACACACACACTGAGAGAAACAAATAATGAGAGAGACAGTGTAGAGAGAGAAAGAGACAGTTGTAGAGAGAGGGAGAAAGCACTGCCTCCTCTGCCCACCCTCTCACATCAACCACATTCTTTAAATCTAGGACACGTAAATATTATAGAGCAGGTGATGATGGTGTATTACTGAGACTGTGTGATGACAGGTGTTTGGACATGATAGACCTCTGTAGGACATGGGAGGCTCAGTGTTAGATACAGTATAGGGATATGAAGAAAAAAATAGGACATGGTGGTAAATTTTAGTACATGGAATAATAAATCACTGGTAGGATACAGGATACCTTAGGACAGGGAAGCCTCAGGACTCGGTAGGACATGGACTTAACTCTTTCTCTCTCTCTCTCCATATCCTTACAGTCGTGGCTCAGCGAGACGAAGGGTAAAGATCCCCATATCCACGTGAAGTTTCCTGCAGAAGGCGACGACAAGAATCCATTCACCTGTAAGTTCATGAACCACCTCTCTTAGTGATTCAGGCGACCCCATCCCTCTCCCCTCCACTAATCTTCAACTTACCCTAACCTAGACTAACCCAGGTACTCTTAGGGTGGTTAATCTTCAAGTGAAATAATAAGTTAGGTGACTAATCTTCAAGTAATCCCCCCTCCCCCCCAGGGCCGGATTAAGCTTAATAGGGACCTGAGGCACAGGGCCCCCTACCCTCAAGGTATATATAAATAACAAGAACAAAATATACCCAAATTTATCAATGATTTCATCAATATTACGCTTTGCAAAATAACACATTTAATGTTCATAAGAGACAGAAAATTGAGACGTTGCTAGGACATCGTTGAACGAAGTCCATGTTATATATGCTTCAACTTCTAGGGTGTTTGGATTTGGGGCCTCAAGTGCCTCATGGTTAATCCGGCACTGCTCCCCCCTTCCTCCCCAGATAGCTGTAAATAAATTAATCTTCAAGTGAAGAAACCAAGGGTGTCTAAACTTCAGGTGATCACATTCCTCTGTGTGCTAGACCCTTGAGGTATCAGATTGCTCGGGTGTCCTCAATACTTCAACGTGGTGTAAACATGTTCCAGATTCGTGTAAAACCGGAGTATTTAAGATCCCAGTTGGCGTGATGTTCCTGACGTGTGTGTGTGTGTGTGTGTATAACGGAATTTATTATATACCTCCTCTGGGTCGTGTTTACGTTATTAACTCTACTGTGTTTTCTGATTGTTTCTGGAATGGGGTCAGGTGGTAAACTTATGAGGAAATTAGCCTTGAACGTTACCTCTCATTCTCTCTCTTTAATTTTATTTTTTCTCTGTACAGCGTTTTCCTCTCTCTCTCTCTCTCTCTCTCTCTCTCTCTCTCTCTCTCTCTCTCTGTCTAAGTGCGTCTGTCTCCCTCGGTCTCTGTCTCTCTAGGGCGTCTCCGTCACCGTTAGCGCCGTGTTCAGTATCATTTATGGAGGCTTGTGTCCTTGTCAAGCCCATCGCACTATTTATGTCCCCTCTCCCTTACCTCTACTTTCATTCTCCTTATACTGTACTTTCACTTCTACTTTAATTCTCTTTATGCTTTTACTTCTATTTTCATTCTCCTTATTCTTTTGCTTATACTTTCATCCTTCTTATACTTTTACTTATACTTTCATTTTCCTTATACTTAACTCTCTACTTTCATTTTCCTTATACTTTCGCCTCCACTTCCATTTTTCTTGTACTTCCAGTTCTACGTTCTTTCTCCTTATACTTTTACCTATACTTTCACTTCTATTTTCATTCTCCTTATACTTTTACTTCTACTTTCATTTATACTTTCATTTTCCTTATCCGTTTACTTATACTTTCATTCTTCTTATACTTTCCCTTCCACTTTAATTTTCTTTATATAGTACCCAACCACCTCACGCGATTAGAGAATTATTTATCAAGTAATTTCCTACAGGTGAATAGTGGCGCCCAGGTAAGACCCACAATAAACAAGTAACAGTACAGGTATCTCATTACCAGGTTACACGTGTTAAAGGTACAGCTGTATCACACATTAGTACGTCACTTGTGTTGCTATGAACCTGTTGCTGTGTTCAAGGCTGGCTAGGTGGGGGAGGGGTGGTGGTGGGGGGGGGTGAGCTGCAGTTCTTTTGTGAGATGTGAATGAGTTTATCAGATTACAGGAGATAATTGTGTCATTACTTAGTTGGTAATTAGTTGTAGGTGAATGAATAATAGTGTGTGAATGAACTGAAAGAATGATGGAATGACCAGCAATGTGTATGTGAATGAAATGAAAGACTGAGGGAATGATATAAACTTCAAGATTTTGTGTGAATGAACTGAAAGAGTGGTGGAATGACCAGCAATGTGTATATGAATGAAATGAAAGATTGAGGGAATGACCAGGGAAGTGTTTGTACATGAGAGTAAATAAGTAAACGAGATCGCTTGGGGGTGAGAGAAAGAGAGAGAGAGAGAGAGCAAGTGAGAGGAAAGAGAGTGAGAGAGTAGGTAAAGGAGGTGAGAGGAAATAAAGAGAGAGAGAGAGCAAATGAGAGGAAAGAGAGTGAGAGAGTAGGTAAAGGAGGTAAGAGGAAAGAGAGTGTGTGTGTGTCAGGTGTAGGCAGTGACCGTGGTGTGTGCTGGGGTAGGTTCTGCATGAGCTGCTGCCCCTCACGTGTGTATAGCGGGCGGGCAAACACGCTGAACAATATAGATATAAATGGCTCGTGCTGTGTGTTCCGCCACTGACCGTGTGTGTGTGTTTCTTTAAGGTCAGAAACCGCTACTCGCCATTTTAATATGATGTTATTCAGCTTATTTTCATTATGTGAGGGTTAGTTTTTTCACCCTAAACTAACCTAAGGTAACTTAACATAATCTAATCTAACCTAACCCCCCCACCTCCCGGTAGTGTCAGGGTGTTTAATTTAATCAAAGTTCGTTAACCTCTTGCAAACATTAACCTAACCTTGTTTACAGTTCATCGGATAGTAAAATGATGTCTTTGTTCACAGCTCGTTTACACATTGTGTTTGGTGATCAACCTTTCCACACCGTGTTGTGTTACTGCTTTATATCGAAGCCTTGATGAACCGCTCACACCAACAACAACCTTGCATTTGTTTTTATTTATTATTATTATTATTATTACTCGTATAAATATTGTTGTGTTTTAAAGAGTGGTCAGGAGTTTGTTTGTTTGTTGTTGTTGTTTTATATACTGTATTTGTACTTATCTGACTTATTTTACAACTTAATAACCTCAGAAGTATTATAGATAACTAGATAACACATGTCAGTTTTATTATACGTGACAAAAAACTCAGGTGTTTTTTTTTATTAGACTAACACTCGTTCGCCTTGTTCATACGTACACCGTGTTTTATCCTGTAATATTTCTGAGACTAATAAATTACAAAATGAGTCGCCCTGTACTGCATGTTTATCCTGAGATTTGTCCTTTATGTTACAGTGTTGAGAAACGTCTAGAATATAATAGGCTCTCCTTACAGTCTGCAACAGGTGTTAATTAACCTGTATTTATAATCAACCTTGAGAATATTTCATGTTACATCACATTAACATTAGTGGACCTTGAGAGACATTTACAGTGAAAGCTTTATTTAACGGACTATATCTGAGAAGGTAGTTCGTTATATGCAAATTCCAATGTATACACTTCAGGTGCAGGCAATGAAAAGGGTTGAGGGCCTCGAAATCCAATACTGTTGCCCTCGACCTTGACAAAAACCTTCTGATTATAATATGTTTCATGTTTGTTAGAGCACCCCTCACCCCCCCCCCCCCGTGTATCCCTAGCTGGTCACTTAACGCGTATATATTGTAGGAGACATTGAGGGCAAGAATAGACTCCGCTTGGAATTGGAGCAGCGGTGGAGAGCGTGTTTACGTTCTTATATTATAGACCCTGTTGTGTTTCGTCCTTAATGTTAGATGGATAGATAGATAGATAAATGAACGGATAGGTAGATGAATGAAGAACTAGATAGACAGATAGAGTGATTATTGGGTAAAAATCTTTATACAAGTTTACATTATAACTCAGTTGTGGTTTGTGTGTTATGTCACCTGGTCATGTGCATGTTATGACACCTGTACATATTGTATGTGAGTGCTGTTGTAAATGGCCTGTGTCTAGTATTTCAGCGCTGTTGACTGTGGGGACCTGCATAGATATTCCCTCTGTTTGTTTTTATACCTGTTTATGTCTCTCGTTGATGGTGTTTATGTTTTAATTAACTTTACAGGTATACAGGTAAATTGAGTTTTGTAAGGTGATAAATGGTGAGAAAAATATTTATTGTTTATTTGTTGTGGATGACATAAGGGTTTATATGCTTTTTGAAAATATTTGTGTAATTAAACGTTTTTCATAATTTACTTAATATGACAAGTTTATATGTTTTCATTATTTTTTGTATGTTTATATATAATCCTTCACTGGCTTTACATACCTTGTTATTGTTTTGTTAATATCATCAGAAATATTAACCTAGTGAGGTAAAATGTTAATATTACCAAAATATTCCTAGGTGATTTTTTAAATATTTGACGTGAGATAAATTTTTCAGTGTTGTTTGACGTAGAGGAGTTGATGGTAGACCCCGTATGCCTGCCCAGCACCATCGCCTCTCGACTCTCACTCCACCACAACCTACTACGCACCGTCTCCACCACACAAGGTCACCACACACTCTCTCAAATATATACATCAGGTTGTGCTCAGAAATCGCCTTTGGAATTATTGATCATAGTTATTTTTGTATGTTTGTGTATTTGTGTATTTTTCGTCACCACATACAATTTCTCCACATAACTGATCATACAGTCAAGGTGGAATAAAAAGTATAGTGTATTTTTTATTAAGATATGAATTTATGACCACCTTTGTTTTATTGTATTGTATAAATGTTACTTTGTTTAGTTGCATTATTAATTCAGTGATTCAGATGAGATGAGTCGGTGTTTATAATTATCTTAATATTGTGTACTGTGATGTGGTGCGTCCCAGTATGAACTCTCTACCTGTTTTATTTCATTAGTTATTTAGTATTATCGATTTAATTACCTGTTGTTAGTTTTAGTTAACTCCATCAGTACAAGCAATGTCTAAATGAGTTGCTTAGTCATGTGTTCAAGTTTTGTGGTAAAGTTAGATGATGTGACGTATTTTGTAGCATTATCGACGCACTGTTCTTTAGTCTGTCACTACTGTAGTTCGTGGAGTTCTTCTGCTGGAGTGAAGCTGGTGTTAGCTGGCGGGAGCATCCAAGGGAAGACAAACATTGTTCATGAACACACACCTCCGGGGCCGAGAGAATGACTCATTTCTTGCCACGGCTGCTTGGGGTTGGGGTTGTGTCACTTTAAGGCATCGTGCATGTGCATGATGTATACACACACACACACACATACATACACAGACACACTTCCAATATTAATACTGTAGATACTAACCTAACTTACACCTTCGCCATGTGACTCGGGTAGTTCCATTCTCCGGACATCGAGAAAGAATTTTATTAAATACGTTTTACTGAACACCTGTGTCATATGTATGGACCATTTGTTTGTCTCTTTATTTTTTACTAGAAAGGGCAGGAGTTACAGGTAGCGAACTGCCCACGCAAACGCTCGAGTCTGAAACATTTATAAGTCAACCCGGGGCGCCCCGTCAACCACAGCAGTCTGCAGGCCTCACCTTAGGAGAGCATTGGTATAATGTATTCCCCCTTTTTTTGCCTAAATATAACCCCCTTGTACAAAGCCCAAATATGTTAAGGAGACACTCAATATACAGCTTAAGGCAGAGGGTTGAGGCTCTCAACTGTGCCCAGATTGTAACACTTATAAAACCCTTCTTGCTTTCTCTTATGTGTAGGGTATGACAGAGCATAGTACACGTGGCTTAATGTGCCTTTGTTAAAGTGAGATTTTTTGGTGTGTGTGTGTGTATGTGGTCTGCGTGTGTGTGTGTGCGTGTGTACTGTTGGAGCGAGGTTTTTGATACAATCGTTCAGGCTTCAGCAGTTGCTAAATATTCATCAATATTATATTTTGTTTATCTGGTTAACACCTACGTTTACCGAACTCATTTTCTACCTTGTGATCACCTCCATTGTGTAGTGGAAAGAAATCCGTAACTTGTTAATGTTCCTCCTCCCATTCCCCTGATAATCTTGTTCAGGGTAATTTTAAAGGTTAGCACTGTTCTTGCTGCCACAGCTTCGGGAGGTAGTCTGTTCCACACTTACTGAGTGAAGAAGAACGACCATTGCATGATGTCCTGTGTGACGACTTGGTCAGCTTGAATCTGTGGTTTCTTGTTTGTGTAGTATTGGTCAGTTTGAAGTAATGGTCAAGATTTATGTTTTCCTTCTCTTATAGGTTATTAAATATTGTATTCAATCTGCCCAACCTTTATTGTATCTGGCTAGTCAGTGTCTCTTATTTCAAGATTTATTGTACTCATGTGTTGCACCAGCGTTGTTAGGTCTTTATACAGATGTGGTTCCTATGCCTATATACAGTAATCAGGTGGGACTGTAGAGTGATACGGAGTTTAGGCAAGGATAACAAAACCAATGTGTACCCGAGGGCTTTCCAACCTGGGCTCCCGTTTAATTTCATAAACCAACACTTTACTTCGATTTTGAAAATGAAGTTTGGATATTTCAACTGCGATCATTACAGGACGTACGAGGGATTTATTGACCTGAGTGATCGTTATCTTGTCCACGTATGTCTATCTATACGACATCCAGGTCATTTACCTTTATCTACACGCACCAGGAAGTCTCTAATAATGGTATTGTTTTCCACCATCCCAGGAGGAAGGTATAGTGTAGTCATGGTGTACGTAACTCACTGGTAGAGCGTTCGTTTAGGGTGCGAGTGGTCCATGGTTCGATTCCCGACTCGAGTGTAGGTTTGAGTTCCCTTCTTGTACAGTACTCCACTACAGGCAATATGTTTTGACAGAGAAGGTGAAGATGTTGAGACGAATAACTGACTGACTGATCCTCGAGACCTCTTCTACCACAGGCAACACGATACCGGTAGTGGAGCTGGAGGTGATGAGGCGAGTGAAGTGCCCCAGTCTGGCCACCACGATCTTCGGCCAGTCCTTCTACCTCGTCCCTACTGGCGCCACCTCCCTCTCCTTCACCGATATATGGGAGAACAAACAGGTGAGGAGCCGAGGACTGCATTTGGGGGGGGGGTAGAGAAATAGGTGATGGAAGTTTTGAAGTTATGGCCGACGAGAGGGGGGGGGAAGATAGGCAGACAGAGAGAGGAAGGGGGATTCAGAAGGTTCTTGCCCGAGAGAGTATTGTGGTCACTGTAGGTGTATTATATAACATTCTTGATTCTCTTGCTATTATAATATATATAATGGTATATAATATATGTGTTGACGATATACAGTGTGTGGCGGCCATCTCAGAGCAGCTAGCAGCGTGGGATGAAGGACTGTTAGCCAGGGCGACGGGTGCTCCTGGTGCCCTCACGCCCCTGGTGGCCATCCTCGCTGCCCCGCACTGCTCAGGTCAGTAAACTCCATCACCAGATAACAGATTAGGGCACTTGAACCTCATCAGCTCTTCATAGTAAATCAGGGACAACAAATGAACTTCACTTTTCATTAGTGTATCGATTTAGGCGTCGTTGAGTCTTTAACATTCAATATTACGTAGTACATAGAGTGATTTCATAGCATTATAGCAGTTTATATTATATGATTATCTTAATTTGTTTTGTAGTTAATGTTTGGGTATAATTTGCGCAATAAACAGGAAGCCTTATGATAAAACAAGATATAATATACGTGTTTCTTATACATGGCATAAAGTTGGACTAGCCATTCATACTTTTCTATTCCATTAAACATAGGAATTCCTTTACATTCATAATAACTTATATATAGACTATGGTATAAGATGTATCACTGGTATTCCCCTCAATCAGCACTGTCGCTGGTCCACGTGTCACCGGCGGAGTTGTTGCTGGCGGAGCGTCATCTGGACACCCACCATCAGGAGGTCCCCGATAAGGTCAGTTCTCCACACTGTCAGGCCCTGGGCTAGGACGCTCAAAGGACCAACTATTAATTTTTCTATCTTGTTGACTCAGACTATTTAGACCATTATTAATCGCATTTTGTTTGAGTTCCACACTACCATAACCAGCTGCTTTTTTTATATCCCAAATTCAGAGGAAAAGTTTTCGTTTGAGTAATGAGAATCCAGACACTCGGTATTGGCTGCCTGAACCTCCTTGATAGTTACAGTGTGTCTGATTGTTAGAGTGACAGTCTTGGGTACTAGTGTTGTAGCAAGCATTAGTAACAAATTTAGGTAAGATGAAAGAACAAGAATATGGACGGACAGATACAAATCAATTCGTGCTCATGTATAGGCATTGGGTTCATAAAACAAACACCAATAACAATAATAATCAACTGACTATAGGTTTATCTAACACACATCAAGAAGCTCATTTACTCGCAGGGTAGAGTAATAAATTATTGACAGAGAACTACGGAAAACATTGATGGTTCACTGGGAAGACGAAGAGAGGGGTGACCTTCAAAACCTCAACGTACAGGACCAAACTCTGTAAGATTCACAAGATCTGGTGCGGTGTATCTCAGTCGTCAGGGGGGAATAATGGTTGTTTGTTTGATGATATATATATTGACTTTATATTTCTGAAAGTTACTAAGCTTGTTCCCAATACTATACAGTCCACAACCTTACAGACCATCAGCTCAAATGTTGTCCCTGTCATACATGCGCCTACCTCTCACACACACACTTACAATATACTAATGATGTAACAAATATGGTTGTGTTGTGGCCCAAGGACAAGACAACAGCTGTGTGTCTTACGAATCTCTCACAGATTGAGGCTGAAAGTGAGACTGAGATGATGTAGATAAGGATGAAGGATTTGTATTCAATTAAGTCTTTCTTTTTAAGCTTAATAGGCACCAAGTTACTTTTGACACCAGTGAAGTAGAGAATGACTGAAGTTATGAAGTGGCTTGAGGGAAGAATGGCAAAGAAGATGGAAGGTCAGATGCTATAAAAAATAATTAAGAAATGGAGGAAAAAGGGAAGAAGAAAAATGGATGCGTGTATAAAATTTTGCATGTGTGTGTTTATGTAGCTACTGAGAGTAAGTGTCCATTTGTACTTGTTTTTTCATGCTAATGTATGAAATGTGTGTGTACACTTTTATAAGTATGTATACTTTCTTGAACGTGTATTTTTGGTATGTGGGTTTAGTTTATGGAGATACGAGTACTGTATTGTGTCTGAGTGTAGTAAGTGTGTGCCTGTGTAATTGTGTGTGTATGTTTGAGAGAGAGAGAGAGAGAGAGTGTAGGTGTTATGTTATCCAGTACAGTAGTGTTATCATATTAACCTCCGGACACTGGTGGTGATGCTCCTAGAAGTTACACACACACACACACACACACACACACACACACACACATACACACACACACACACACACCCATGGTAACTTTGGCTATACAGTATATATATAGAATTCGATTCCTTTTAATATCTGAGATTAATTGTTTTATTAACATCAAATTAGTTTCTGTTTCTATATGTACTGCTTACTAGTTTAGTTTCCTATACAGTATTGATTAAATGTATTAGATGTTAGTTCTAAGTAAATACTGTACTAGTATATTCATTATTATCAAAATTATTAATAAGTTTTTACTTGATCTGAATTTTTCTGTAATAGTTCAGGACTAATAATTCTCTACTTGCACTGTGCTTTTTCGTTATCAGTTTAATATGATAGATACTGTAATATCCTCATTTATCTAAGTTTCTGCGGTTCCTGTATTTTCATATTTTGTTTTAGTTTACACTCAGTAACGTGTGGATCTGTCCTGTGCATCATCCTGCAGAGTAATGTCTTCTGTATACAAACCTGACTCGTCTACCATTAGCATCTTATCACTATTTACCAGACTTACACTACACCATCTTTACTACTCCGTCAGTAGCAGTGACTCCATTACATAATAAAACGCACCTGTAATGATGAGTATGTTAATGACTCTGGTGTATATTTCAGGTGAGAAGGGAGATGGAACAGAGGTTGGAGTCACTTGACGTGTCAGACCTGAGGCTGGTAGATATGGCCACGAACCTTATCCCAGTACTTATCCAACATTTCACCAAAAGCCCCAGGGTAAGTTGGGGGTGAGGGGTACACCCATACTCTTGACACTACAGAGAGAAGGTCAAGGGGTACACTCACCACTTTACACTCACATGAACAAGTTGGTGGTAATGTGCGCATCTCTCATGGTGTGTCCTGGGTTCGAGTCTTGGCTCTTACAGATGTGGCGTGGGGAGGGTGTTATCCAGTGTGACCTTACAAAACTTCACAGGTTTCCTCCAGGTACTCCGGTTTCTTTCTGTACTAACACTGAGCAGTAAGGGCCATAACAGAGTAACAAATAACAGACCAACCGCCCGAACAGCTGATAAGCTGATAAATGGTGAAATGATAAATTCACAATTAAGAACTCGGACGAATATCCTGTAGAGCCATTATATTCTAGAGATTATCTGACGTTCCTCCATGGTATTCTGCGGGATGTTATGCCATCCACGGACATGATTAAGAAATTGTCAGTATAGTCGATATATCTTGTACCTGAGTTGCCGGCGCATTACGTTACTACTGAATATCACAAGATTCATAAAATTGAACACTGTAATACCAGGGGTTCAGACTACAGCTGGATACATTCGATTTGTTTGCAGAAATATAATAATTTGAGTACTACAGGATGTAACACGCCAATGAAAAACACCAACAAACCCAACGTTTGTAAGTTGTAGGGGATGTCCTCGTCAATTATGTTCTCACCAATTTTATCTTCTGTGTTTAACACTCAGGTATCATTACTTTGGCTTGTTATGTTGTAAGTAACACCTGTGACTCAGTCGTTCTAGATACAGATATAACAGGATGTCCTCTCGGGGATTTACAATACTACTCACTAACATTCTTTTAAAGCGTGGTCGTGGAGGTGAATTGACTCAGGTCCCGCTTCTGGAATTATATTCTCACTGTTCTAGAAAGACACTCGCAATTTATTATGTAAAGTTATTAAAGTCATCAGACAAATAACCCTCCATTTTGTTACTGGTTAGGTCAGGGTAGTGTTGGCGGAGATCTGTGACTGTCTGGTTATATGTAATGTACACTTGTTTAATGGAAGAAAAATAGAATTTCTGCTGTTAGTAAATGGTGACTAAGGAAGGTTCATTATAAGTTAATTAATAGAAATTGTCAATATTATACGTGTGAGTTTACAGTACAGTACAGTACAGTACTCTGCATAATCTTGAATAGTAGCGGATTTTTTGTGTTAAGACAAATCGGGAATTTCAGAATTTGAATTTATTTTGGTGTGAAGATTTTAATATTGTAGAGGTGTAGATGTATTATAAAGGTGGAGGCTTAAGATCACCGGGTATTTTAATGAGGGAATCTTTTTATCCTGTTGGTATTATCAACAGTAAACAGTTTTATAGTATTACCACCATCACTGCTGATAAATACCTACTCGCTGATTACCATTGCATTTTAACATAAGAACATAACATAAGAAAATAAGGAATCTGCAATAGGCCGGTTGGCCTGTGCATGGCAGCTCCTGTCGAGAGTTACTACCACTCTATCATCCATGAATCTATCTAGCCTCCTTTTAAAACTTTCCAGCGTTCCAGCACTTACTACAAGTTGCTAAGCATGTTCCACTCGTCCACTACACTCCCTTAACTATATTATATAATTCATTTTACAAGGGAGGCGGACGAGTGGCTCAGCAAAACACCACCATCGCTCATGTGCCTCATCAAGAACCGACGAGGAACGCCCGCCCACTACCCCAACATCCAGCATTTATGGACGACGATTTTCAGCCTGACTCCCACCCAATGGGTCGTGGCCAGAAGACAGGCGGACGTCGAAGTCGAAGTAACCAAGGTCGACGGTTTTTGAGGGCCCACAAGATCAACACTTCGGGGAACTATTATTAGCTCAGTTTATTTGTACGTAATTGCTTTTGTTGTGAAATATTCCATTATTACGTCATATGCTTCGTATTTTCACCCTTTTTTCACTCTTCAGATACTTTTGATTTATTAATACAAAAATTTAAACCAGTGTAAAAAGTAATTGTCTTTATACAATTTTTCTTTGTTGAATTTAATCATGAAGACCGTAGCTTTTGTAAACTAGTTTGTGGCTGTAGACGAAGGCGTACAGTAATTTCTTTTTATTTACAACGGAAGAGTAAACGTGTATTCGTATTTTGATTACAGTTGCTGGTCTATTTATATATTTTTTCTATTTCCACTAGGCTATATTTATACCTCGGGTAATATAGGATGTGAAAACTTACCAAATTACTCTGTTCGGTTTCTATATACTGTACACACAAATAGACACCGGCGCCAACACTTGAAACACTTACACTGGACTTTGAAAATTAACATTAACCTAACCTAACCACCTTCACACTAACCTGACCTGACCCCCTTAACATTAACTTAACTTAATCACACCACCTTAACATTAGTCTAACCTAACCACACCACCTTAACATTAATCTAACCTAACACGCTAACCCAACCTAACCTAACTTAACCTAAACTACCCCTACCCTGGTATAGCGTTGTGGTGTTTATTCATCCAGTGAACTAAGCTGGGGAGGGGGGAGGTAATCTTCAAGTGATCCCACAAGTGTACTATCAACAATAAACTATAAAATATAATAACATCATCGGGGAAATACTAACAAAATCATACAATAAAACAAAATAAACGCAAAGGGGAAAAATTATACTTTGACAGTAGAAATGAGAGATATTAGAGTAAAAAGCGGAAGTATAAATGGTGATAAGGACAGAAGAGAGATACTGTACAGTACGTGTGAGGGCCCTACCGACACTAGCGACGGTTGGGGGAGGTATAGAGAGGAGGGGTGAGCCCCAAACGTCCGCACCAGTCAGGATTTACCCCAGTTTGAGCGGATAAAAACACAACGAAAACACATACACACACGTAAAAAAAAAGAAACTCAAACTAAGCCGGGAAGCAGCGGTGGGGCTTAAGACTGCCGTGGTTGTATAGTATGGCAGATAGGAACGGAATTTGCTGGGGGTTGTTTTCACCGTTTTTCTCCTCTTCTAAAGATTGCTCCGTTATGCCGTTTTTACTTAAGTATGTTGCTGATATTTGTGTTATTTTTAACTTCTTATGTAAGATATCAATCCCTTGAGTACAGTACTATGATTCCACCCATAATTACCCGTGAGTACAATATTTCATCCCTTATGTACGATGATTTATCTCCTTGAGTACAATATTTCCTTCCTTGTGTACGATAACATCCCCTTGAGTACAATATTTCATCGCTTACGCACGAAGTCTTATCCCCTTGAGTACAATAACACTGTACTTATGATATTGTACTTAAATGGTTAAATGTCTCTGTAGAGTAGCTGGTTATCTGCTTTTAACATTGAGATAAGATTATCGTATATATCGTTGACCGCCCAACGTTGTTACAAGAGCAATTTACACTTTCTTATCACATAAACCTTTCGAGTTCGTGCTTCCATACTCCACCCCACTCACACCTGCCTTCACTCACACGTACTCACGCACGCACTTAGTCACCCACTTACTCACATACACCCTCATTCTCACTCACCCTCTCGCACACGCTTTCACTCACACTCACTTACGTACTAACACACGCACGCACTCATTCATACACTCACGCGCAATCACACTCATAAAACTGTACAGTATATCATCTTACATAGTCGATGCCCTTAACCTAACAAAACAAACCCTAACCTAACCTCCCCCCCCCTCCCCCAGATATCAGTAGGCAGTTTAATCATCAGGTGAAATGACTTAGGGGTGCGTAATTTTCACGTGATTCACAATTATTCCCCAAAAAATATTGTCGTAAAACCTTTGAACCTTTGAAATGACGCAATCAGGTGGGTAAGGGCTGATTAGGTTCTGACTCAACGATGCTTTATCTAATCAAGCCAATATTTTTAATCTGCCGAATCCCATTTCTTTTTAACACTCACTTTTTTTATTACACCAGAGGCAGATAGGGTGAAGAATATTATTAATTATCAGACAAGGGAATATACTCGAATACAGGTAAATAGGTAGACAGGTAATTTGAGATAAAAAAATAGAAAAAGACAGAGTTATATGTAAAAGAGAATTAAAATACATTAATCTGTCGTTACATAACCACTCCTTTATCAACCTTAATTAAAAATGATTCCGTTATTTTTCGTTATTTCCGCTAGACTAAATAATATAATTCCCTCTTTTATTTTCACGCCTCGTTTAAAACTTACTTAACTTACCACGAATTATCCCTTGTGTGTGGTGCTCAGGGATTTACAGCTTCACCGCGAATTATCCCTTATATGTGTGTGTGTGTGCAGGGATTTACAGCTTCACCGCAGAGTAAATATATTAGGTACGTTTCCCCCTTAAAGTTTCGGCATATTTACCTAGTGGATATCGCCTCTTCCCTGCTAGCCCGAGTCCTTATCGTGGCACTGTGGAGCAAACTCAAGCCTTTTAAAGTCTCGTCATTTTGGTTATTATGTCTCCACCTGCAGTATCCCACTTTCTTATGTTCTTATGTTTAACACGTAATCGTTTTTCCTGTGTTTCTTGTTCTTCATTATTATCATCATCATCGTTTTCTTGTACTTCTTTATCAATTAATCGTGATTCCTGTTTCATCCTTCTTAAAAAAAAGTTTCAATTAATCGTCACATCTTCAGTTCTGGACCCATTAATTAGGGAACTCAGCAGACTTGTACGTACCTTGGTCAAAGACACCCAAACACCTTTTAATTTTTCTTATTTTTACCTATTTAAGGATGAGGTCAAGGGTCAAAGATCAAACAAAATAGGATTGAACGAGGGAGAAAGGGGATCACCTGAAGATTAGGCACTCTTGCTTATTTCCCCTGATGATAAAACACCCTAATGCTAACTAAACCTAATTTGACCTAAGTTAAGTTAACCTAATCCACCAAGGTAGTGATAACGTGGTTAATTTTCAGGTGAAATAAGCTGGGGGCAAATGTTCAGGTGAAATAAGCTGTGGGGGCGAATCTTCAGGTGAAATAAGCTGTGACAGCGAATCTTCAGGTGAAATAAGCTTTGGGGGGCGAATCTTCAGGTGAAATAAGCTGTGAGGGGCGAATCTTCAGGCAATCCGTTTGTATATTACCAGACCGTATAAAAAAGAAATACGTGCCAAGGAATTCAAAACAACATCTAAAGACAACAAAGGATTTTAGTATCAATACACACCCAACATTCTCTTCGGCTGTGTTGTGTACGAAAGTGACGAACAACAAACGCCAGAGGGGAAATCGAAGCCCTTTTACACTACAAGTTTCCCCGTCTTTCAATGCGAGTTTGAATTGTAGAGTTGACTTTCACGTTTCTGTAAATCTCTCACAAGTGCAGCATATACGATGATTTGAGAGTTTGGATGGAGGGAGACTCAACACAGCAAATCCTTTAGAAGTGTGTGTGAGGCAGGTAGCAGGTAGTGGCCATTGTTTACATGATGGTCCCTAATGCTCTCGAGTGCTGAAGGATGGCAGTGTGTGTGTGTGATGTGTGTGTGTGTGTGTGTGTGTTTAGAGAGGTGGTTAGGTGTATGTGTTTATATTTAGAGGGGTGGTTATTTGTGTGTATTTAGGATGTGGCTGTACGTGTGTCTGTGCTGAGGCATGTTTTCTGGATATTTAAAATGCATATAATTTCACAAATTTCCACGAACATTTATATATTATACTGCTTCAGACTGAAACCGATTTAGATTCTAGCATAAACTAAAATTTATTGAAAAACAAAATATTCAATAAGCATTATATCTCGACAAGTTGACCCGGAGATGGTATAGACATTTTCGCTTTCAGAATATCCTGCAAGCATTAAGGCGACGACGGAACCCTCGTGAGGACGATAAAAAGAATATCTTTTGCATATTACATAACACATGGTACACGCAGACGGACGAGATGATACACTGAGGGTGAGAGATGAATAACGTGTTAAAGAAGATACAACTAAAAACAGGGAAGATGTGTTTGAAAGAAAGAGGGAGTGAGAAAGATGCTGTTACGTGAAGTTTGGTTGAACTAAAACGCTGAAGTTCTCTCTCAGCATTTAATCTAAATTTTTACCGAACAGATAAAAACAGAAGGATCATATTCGATAGTAAAGACAAAAATAAAAGAGCGTAGTCCGACATAAGAATAAAATATAAGGAGAAAAATTAGTAAAAAGACTATAAGACGCTGGGAGAAATGGCACAGCTTAATGTACGCTGGTGTAACGTGTGTGTAATATATAGGTGGGATTTGTAGTGTAAAGAAGCTAACTTGGATTTACTTTTTGTGTAAGTTGGGAGAGGAAAAGGAAAGGGGAGAATTTGAGAGGGAGAAAATGCGAATTAGGGAAAGGGAGAAGGAAAGAATTAGAGAAAGGACGAAAAGAAAGAAAGGATGAAGGAAATATTTGAGAGGAAGAATGAAAGTAAGAATTAGAAAGACAAAAAAAATTGGAAGAAGGGAAAAGAGAATTAGAGAGGGAGAAGTAAAAAGAATTAGAGAGGAAGTTAATCTAAGCTTAACAAAGGGAATTGGGGAGTGGAAAACAGAATTAAAAGTACAAAAGAGAATTTGAGAGGAAAAGAAAGAAAATAAGAAACGAAAGCGAATCAGAAAGGGGAAACCAAGAGAATTTGAGATGTAGAAAGATGGATGGAAAGAGAAATATGCAAGAATATATAAAAAAGGTTAAGAGAAAGAAGGCAAGAGAAAACAAATAACCGACAAAACAGCAATAAAAAATATTTACCTTCTTGAAATTAAATTAATTTTGAACTACGTGAAGCCTTAATAAAAGATAATTAATAAACAGACCGTAAATAGATAGATAAATATAAAGTAAAATCACCATACAAGTTTACAGTGATTCGGTATGAATATAGACAATGCAGGGTTAAAATATAGACAGTGTAGGTATGCAAGTAATGTATATAGACACTGCAGGTATATAAATAATATACACTGACTGAAGGTATACATAGACAGTGTAGGTGTAAAAATAAATGGTAAGCAGTCGGTCGATTCTGTAATGATTTTAAAAATATGCACTACAAGGAGACTGTAACGCCCGAGAATGTATTTTTTTTACTGTATTCAGAAAGTTACACAGTGCTGGGAATTTAGTATTTGAACTTCCTTGGAAATCTTGTTAAGTAGTCATCTCTCTCTCTCTCTCTCTCTCTCTCTCTCTCTCTCTCTCTCTCTCTCTCTCTCTCTCTCTCTCTCTCTCTCCATCTATCTTATATCTCTCTGATCGATTTATTTTTTCTTAATTTTTGTTACTTTGAGGTTATATCGAGAGGCATTTCATTGTTCACAATATTCGTTTAGATCATTAACGAAATTCTTCCTGCTATCGTACCTAGGTATACGATAGCCATTAAAATTCCTTCGTCCACAGCTATGATATGAAGGTATTATTATTTTAATATTATTATCGGTATTATTATATGTATTATTAATCATTATTATTATTAATTGAAGAAGATTTACCGACATCGCTATCGCTTACTCGCTGTAATAAAATATACGTTTGTGTCTTAGTTAACGAATGATAAATAATCCACAAGACAAGAATAACACAAAGGGTATTGACGGAGGAGAGCCGGAGTGGGTGTACACTAAAGGTGAGAGGGAGGGAGGGTGTGTGAGAGGGAGGGAGAATGTGTGAGAGGGAAGGAGAGTGTGTGAAAGGGAGGGAGGGTGTGTGAGGAAGAAGAGATAAAGAATGGGTGAGTGGGGTGATGTGTGAGGGGTAAAGTGGGTGAGAGGAAGAAAAGGAGGGTGAGTGGGAGATATGGAGAATGCATGGGAGGGAGAGGGAGTAGTTGAGAGGAAAGTATTGTATGTGAATAATGTGAAAAGGAGTGAGTGAGGGACAGGGAAGGAGCTAAGTGAGGGTCATAACTGGAAATCTGTTGTTTTTGCTGGGATTAATTAGATTTCTTCAATGCGCAGTTCGTTAGTCTCCTTTGGTAATTTTTTTCGGTCATAGCAATACACCAGAGTTAAACGCTCCTAAATTTCCACTTAAGATTATATTTGGTCATCGCTATCCTTAGAAATTATTAGAATTTCAGATCAGAAAGGTCAAAAGTCAAGGTCTCCCACAAGTTGATGTCCAATTTTGAACCATAATGAACAAACAGTGCTTGAGGCTTTAGACTGACGAACTGATCAATGACGGTCAAGCTAAAAATTATTTAGATTTGAGATAAAAGAAGGTCGAGTGTCAAGGTGAATGCCATAATCACATTTACATTCCCTAAAAACTTGTGTCTGGGTAGCACCATACCAAGGATGAAGGTAACTGTTGAAGGCTCAAGCCACTGAATTAAATACCCAGGATCCCATAAATCACAGAATATATTGAAACCCAGAGATTTAAAATACGGTATCATAATACAACTCTATTGAGGATGGGTGAAAACTGAGGTTGCTTCTCCAGCTATAAGTTATTGACTTCAAATTAAATTATCAGGGTAAATTTAAGGCTTTAAGAAAGACCTCTGAGGTAATATAGTGTCTAACGATACATTTCTTGAAACAATATATATATATATATATATATATATATATATATATATATATATATATATATATATATATATGCAAGTAAATCACTGTAGTTGCGCGTGATCCAGGTATATGCTGATAACCACAAGGAAAGAAGAAAACACGATGTGAATTACACGAAAGCGCTTGGGAACTTCGTGTTTTCTTTTTCCTGTGGTTATTTATATATATATATATATATATATATATATATATATATATATATATATATATATATATATATAAAGCTTATTAAGTATTCACAGGAACATATACACGGAAAATACATGAACACATACACTACACAAACACACATTAATAGTACTCACACACACATACACACAATTAAGAGTTAAAATAAGGACACATGTTCATGTGAATGGTAATAGGCTTTATATATATATATATATATATATATATATATATATATATATATATATATATATATATATATATATATATATATATATATAGAGAGAGAGAGAGAGAGAGAGAGAGAGAGAGAGAGATAAAATAGAAACATGTTGAATATTTTCATTTACTACATTCTACCAGTAAATATATTAATGGAGGAGCAAGGAGAACACACTAATCCTGTGGACAGTGAACCACCTGCCGCCTCGCCATAGTTCAACATCCGCTGTGTAATTGTCGCAAAATTTAACTACTCGGTCGCGTAAATAAGTCCTCGGTAAAATACTTACTTTGACTTCCATCTCCGGAAGAAGTTAGTCATAAGTGAGGAGTAAATAACGAATACTAAATAGCGTTTAAAAGGTTCAGAGCGTGTGTGAGAGCGAGGAGGGCTCAAGGGCGAGGGGTTGGAAGGCTCTCGTCACTCGGCGATGCTCACCTGTTCACGTCGCCGCGCCTTTTTGGGCTTCTCATATGATATCATCAGAGAGCTTATTCTTGTACAGATTGAGTTAGGAAAGGGATCGTCTAGTGAAAGCAAAATGTTGAATTATTGTATCAGCAAGAGCCAACTCTCTCTAAACTGAACTGGCCACCACTTCATGTCGCGTTTATTTCTTTTTGATAATTTATTGAAATTTTTGTGTGTGAGAAGAAAAGAGTTGTGAAAACCAATGAACGGAGCGAGTGGGAAAAGAAGGGAAGCCTGGCAGTTGTTTACACTGAGGTAGTTGTCTGGAACAGGAGTCACCATGAACGGCCTCAGTATCCGGGATATATGTTGTCTTTTCTGCTGGCCACCCTGCCCGTCTAGCATAGCTGCCAAGATGGCCTTCATACCCCCGGAGCCCACATATAACTTCACCCCAGATGAGACTGGCTCAAGACACAGCCTTCACCTCACAGAAAAGGCAGAGTGGCAGTTTACAGACAAGGAAAAGGAGGCCATTGAGGTCTTTTACACCCGTACCAATAGGGGCAACAAGATTGCTTGTATGTTTGTGAGGTGTTCGCCAAATGCTCGATTTTGCATTTTGTTTTCACATGGCAATGCTGCTGATCTTGGACACATGAGCAGTTTTTACCTAAGTCTAGGAACAAGAATAAACTGTAATATCTTTAGCTACGATTATTCTGGCTACGGCGTGAGTGCCGGGAAGCCCTCGGAGAAGAACCTATACTCAGATATTGATGCCGCCTGGCACGCTCTGAGAACGAGGTATGGCATCTCCCCCGAAAACATTATTCTCTACGGGCAGAGTATTGGCACAGCAGCGACGATAGACCTAGCGTCGAGGTATGAGGTGGGGGCCGTGATTCTCCACTCTCCACTCATGTCTGGAATCAGAGTCTTGTTCAACACCAAAAGAACGTGGTTCTTTGATGCCTTCCCAAGGTAAGCTGCCCCATGTGTTCTTGATCTATAACTCTGGCTAATATTGAGGGTGTAGAAATGTGCAGAAGAATGCTTTACTAAACACAGTGGATATTTTGTCGTGACTGGCCAAGTTCCTACTAATGCTATTTTACTGTGAGTGTGCTCTTATTGGCTAATCAAATCCAAACGACATTGCACAGAATCTATTAGAACCTCACCTCACCTATTTACGTAACCTCACCTAACTTCCTAACCTATGCATTGTCATTTCATTTTCCTACTATCATCCAAACAACATCTCGAGAAAATAATTAATGTGGTGGATATTTTGCCATTTTGTTTGCCGGTAATGGACGCTTAGCCAATCAGAGTTCACTCGCGGTAAAATAGCATTAGTAGAAACTTAACTGGTCACAGTAAAATATCCACTGTTTTCTAAATGCTAACATGCATTTTATGAATTTAGCGCATTTCAGGAATTGGACAGGACAGTTTTGGAAGTGCAGTAATATTGTTGTAGGTTAAGGATATCTATTGTGATTTATATATTGTACCATCCACCAAATAAAATAATTCTAGTTAAGTATGTACAGTAGATCATTACTGTGGCCTTTATCCATCATGGTCACTACAGAATTATTTAAGAAGAAAAAATTAAAAGACAAAACAAACCTGCCAGACCTAATTTGGTAATAGTGGAAGAGAGTGTTGTTTGGTAATCTGCACATTTAGGAAGTTTTCCTATAAAAGAAAATGCTTTTTTGTTTCATGGAAGTCCCTAAAATTTGGAGGAGGAACAATTTTCAAATATTTATGAATTTTTCCTTCCTAAATATGATTCACGGCCTTGCGCTGCGGTGCCTTAGCTCCAGTGTTAGTATCCGGGATGTTTTGTTTCATCCACAGAATCACTTCTTGGAAGTTCCATTGATTTTTTTCACACAGGAATTATCAGTACTGGGTAAAATTTCAGTCTCACTACCAATTTGGTTGGTTAGGATATTTCATTTTACGCTGCAGAAATTTGTCTGGTTGTTGGTTACTTAGGTTTTTATAGAATGCAATAACACCAGGAGTTGATAAAATTGGACGAAACTTTGTGTAAAGGTTAATTACAATCTATTAAATAGGTAAATGGAAACGAGAATCTATTCAAGTGTTGTTAGTATGTTTTAAGAGGTGTTTCTGGTAAGTTAAGTAGGGATAGGTAGGTTAATTTAGGTTAGGTTTGTTAGGTCAAGTTCTAATAGATTCTTGTTTCTATTTATCTATTTGATGATTGTAAATAGCATTTCCACAAAGTTTTGTCCAATTCTATCAGCTCCTTCTGGTCTTAAACTAAAAAACCTACTTAACCAACAACTGGACAAATATTCACAGCCTTCATTTTATTTCCAATAAAACATATACTGCAATGTAGCAGTATTTGTCAGGATTTTCATTGTGGCTAGTCATACAAACTATCTTGTCACAATGGGTCTAATGATGGACAAGAAATTGTGCTTATCACATTTCTTGCTTGAGGTTGGGTATGGTTAGGTAAGGTTTCTGGAGACTTATTAATTTTTTTGGCCTTCTTGTGGATGGAATAAAATTTCCTGGATGTAAACTGTGGAGATATGGTGTAGTAGTAACGTGCAGGCATAGAATAAAGTTTAGTACGGAAGGAATCGTAAGAATGCTGTTGCATAAATTGCTCCTCCTCCACACTTTTTGGGTTGTCCGTGAGGTAAGAAAATTTATTTTCAATATGCTGTAAATATTTCCTAAAGTTGCTAGTTAATGTGCGATAACTGGTACTCTCTTACACCAAACTCTATCTATTAACGGTTACCGGTACCTATGGTAGCCTAGCCGAAGTATATTATAGGATTGTTGGGTTAGGCAGATTTGTTTTATTTGTTTTAAAAACAGAAATTTAAAAAAAAAAGTGCTTGGTTGTTATGTGAATGAGTGGTGAGTAGCTACCGTTGCTGTAGCTATACTGGTGTACAAGTACTGTATATCTTTTCTATGATGTTTATGTAAAATGTATCATCTGATGGGTTAAAACTGACGGTGATATTGTTATACTGTACAATGTATTATACTGTAAATACTTACCAATTTAACAATCAAATTAATAAATTTTCATTGTAAACATAATTGATTTGGTAGTATTTCAGTGACTTCTTAAAATGCATGGTAATTACTTTCATTTTTGGGTTGTCTCCATTACAATTTTGCCAAAAACATAATTGAACTATACACTCAATCCTTGATATCTGAACATTGTCATACAAACATTATACTTTATACAGTACTGTACTGTACCATGTTTTGGTCTTTCAAACTTTCGTTCTGTTCTTACAAACACAGCTTTTTCCAACATACAGTACTGCAGCCACCGATTGGCAAAATGCAGGAATTTGGACACTTGAATGTAGGAAAGCAAACACTGTAGGCAAACTGTGCATCACTTCTGCACACAAGGATTCTCCCATAATGCATCTGCTTTGTTTGAGTGGCAGTATGTATTGTGGTTGTGCACTGATCATTCATGTTGTGAGTATTTGTTTGTTTACTGTACTGTATTAATCACTAACATTGAGTGATATTTAATTGATTTATATACTGGTTATGTATTTTATTTTACAGGTACCGGAACTGTTTTATCACTATGTATAATATCAGTTTACTACATAATTTATATTTTGCCTGTACATATATGATATTTCTATGTTTTGGAAAGGACTGCTTTCCTTTAAAAGTCTTTTGGATACTGAAATTTTGCAAATCTGGAAGGATTTTCCATTAATTTAAAGGGAAAAATTGGGGATGCATTCTGGGTAATCTTTCCAACCCTTTTCCTAACATGTACAGTAATTGTAATTCCATTTAAAAGAAAATACGTACAGTATGGCCATGACTTTGGTGCTTTGGTAAATTGACATGAAACAAAGTATCTCTTTTATCAAAATACTGGATCTTCTTAATTTGTTAATTTTGAAACTTTATTCTTTGGGATTTTCTATGAAACGTTCATTCTTATGCATGCAAAGATTGCAAATTAGTGGCAAAGCTTTAACAAGAATAGACCACTGAGCACTGAAACAATAACTTAGTGGTTCATTCCTGCTGAAACAGGCTTACAAGTACCGTATTTACATTACTCTATTGTTATTTAGTGCTGGTCTTGCATTTAATTGACCATGCACGAGTCTGCAGTTTACTTGCTGCTTCTTAAGTACAGTACCGTGCATTACAATAAATTCAAAACTGTATTTTCATTGCTCCCTCAATGGATATCATTCTGTATGCTTTACCGGTACATTTAACAGAAAATTCTGAAATACTGTATAATTGTTATTGTTACGAGTTGGGGATTTAGAAACTGGTTTAGAATATAGTTAAAAGTCTACCCAGATCCCAACAGGCAACAACAATAAAAAAACTAAACAAACAAAGACAATCGGACGATAAAAGGGTAGACAAAGGATGCGAGTTTTTGTTGTGTATAATAAAGTACAGGTACAATAAATTCCTTAGCAAAATATCCAGCTTTCTATAATTTACCCTTAACCATACTTAACTTAAACATACGCAACATTGGCTTAACAGTATATACATATTTATACAACATACAACAATCTGAAGCAAGTGGAGGTGGGAGGTAATATAGGGTTACAATACTCAAGTGCGGTGCTGAAGTGTCTGACGAGTAGGGCTGAGTATTGAAGAAGATGGTAGGTAGTCACTGTGCCGTAGGTTTCCAGGATAGGTAATCCAAGCGTGGTCACTTCCCAGAGTGAACTGAACTCTCCTCGATCCGGAGCTGATGAGGAAGAGTTGGAGGAGGTGACGCAACAACCAGGATATGGAGAAAGGAAACCCGGGGTGGTGACTAAGACTAGTCATACTCGGGTTTCGTCCCTAGATGGCGTTGCTTGGTAGTGCTGGGTAGTTAGATCATGACAATAGATGGCGTGGTTCGTAATATTATAATGGGCTGAAAAGTAAACCTCACTAATATCCCCTTACTTTACCGGTACTAGTATTCTATAAGTCGTTTGTCGACATTTGGCAATAAGTTAAACTACAAGTATAGTACTGTATTAAATGATTTTTGAAGGATGGCCTGATCTAAAATACAGTAACCTAGCCTTGCTTGATATTTCATGTTCACTTTATTTTCCAGATTCTTTACTGATCTAGTAAAAGTAATATTTGATTTTATGGAAAAATTACTTCACATACCTAAGTTGTCTACACTCTAGCATGCTGTAATGTGATGCTTTATCAATGTCATTCTCCAGAATGCTATATAGAAGTTCCTAGCAGGCTAGGATCTCCCCATTATTATTGTAATGGGACATTATTGGAGGTTATAGAAATGAATTGCACAGTAGATATTGATTATTTTATTACAGTGTATTCTTATTCTTTTGTTTCCTGCTATATTAAGGATTTTGAATCCTTCACTAGCTTGAATTTGGGAAGAGGGGGGGGGGTTTCATTTCCTTTTCCTCAATCTAACAAATTTCATTGGTTCTAACAAGTTTTATGCCGTAGGTTTGGGACACTCATTAATTAAAATGTTTTTCACTGGAAGCTTTTCCAGTTTAGTGTTGTGTTAGTGTTGTTTTAGATATTGGTTATAATCAGTACAGTATGTTGAGTTTCATAGGTATTGTGGAGGTGATGGTCATGGGCTGGATAGCAGTCACTGATAAAAAGTTTAACATTGTAAGACTGTGAATGGTTTAGGTATTTGGGAAGGTTAGTACCTTGTGACATCTTTTTGCAGTAGCTATTTTAATCTAGCCTCGAAATAAGCTATCATTGTTACAATATTGGTGAAAAATTCTTAAGGGAATGTGTCTTTGTGTTGAACCTGACAGTAGATCTTTGTGAGTGTGCAGGTTGATTAAGTTTTGATGAAAAATTCTGAGAGGGGTTGGCTGTGGTCTGTTACTGTTACTCTCCTAGGCATTTGACTTAGGGTACAGGTTGATTCAAGTGTTTTGTTGATCTTCCTG